CAGTTAGAGTTATGACGTCATCCAACCATTGCCATTGATAACTCATTATTATTTGCCTAACCGGAGTAGGTTGGTGCAACTAACCCTTAAAATTAAGCACTTTTTTGAAATACAAAATATGAATTAACAAAACCAAAGCTAATTTATTTAACATCGAAAATAAACAAGGAATTAAAAGACCTCAGAATTTGCATTTCATTCAATAGGATTCCATTCATTCGATAATATAGCAACTTTGAGTCGTCAGATTGCAGCACTAGCATATAGTAAACAGTTGTTGTATAACCACAAAAAAAAATTGTTAGGACATCGACTTTTTGTTTCGATTTTCTTGAAAATAAAAATTTTTGGTAATATTTCTCTCTTTTCAATAGTTTCTCTTTATTACGATATTTTGAAGTCAGTTTATTGTTTTGATTCATTTATTTTGTTTTTTTAATAATAGAAGACATCACGGATCCATATTACTTCCTTCTGTTTTAAAAGATACCTATATCTTTACCTGATAAATATTTTCTGTGATGGTAGCAGTTCTAACCTAACCTACTATTCTGGTAACACTTCGTTTCTTAAGTTATTTATTTAGTAAGTTTTCTCTTATGTTGTTTCCTTAGTAAAAAAAAATAGTTTAATTTCAATCCCTTGTCTAGTTTACGAGAAATACGTTATCAAACATAGAGACACGCATACATATTACTGGACCTGAAAAGCATTAGGTCGGATGTGCAGAACCAGCTAAAATCACTTATCGCCATAACGTTGCTACACTCTTTTTTCTCTTTCCGGCAAATTAACTCTTGTATGTTTGTGCCTTTTTACTCATGAGCAAAAGTCATGCATAAAGTCGGATCAGACGACTTTTTCAAATATTTTGATTGCATTTAGCTATTTCTGTTTTTATACAGTTTTTATACATCCGACCTAATGCTTTTCAGGTCCAGATTATATACCTACAATTTTAGCAGACGTGTTTAAAAGCGCATATAGACTAATATATATGAATATAACCTCCTTTTTTTGAAGTCGGCTAAAAATTAGTCCTCTTCCCTATTTGAGTTATTAATACGATACGATTGGTTTTGATATATCCAAGTCATGTCTATCTCACAATTTTTATCAAAGCAACAGACAAAAAGAAATAATATCAAAACATAATATACAAACATATGCAACATTCTCAAAAATCAACAATATGTACTATGTACCATGTTGTGTAATTTCAAATATATGACATATTTAAACTTTTTGATGAGCGATTTTCGACTTTAAATACTCGTACATAAGGTATATTTTTTAATAACAGACAAATGCATGGACCACTGATTCCTTTCGTATCTAATACCTTAAAACGAGCAATTTTTGTATATATATATATATATATATATATATATATATATATATATATATATATATATATATATATATATATATATATATATATATATATATATATATATATATATATATATATATATATATATATTGGAATTTCGGAAACGAGGAGAGAGGAGGGAGCAATAAAGATCTAACTATATTTCATTAAAAAAACATTATCTTTGTAAAAACATATCCTAATATGTGTATACCGATGTACCCATGTCTGATAAATGTGTGCGCTCTTCAAATGTGAAAAGTAATATGTGACCTTCAAAAGAAAACGATACATATCGCTAGGCATACACTTATGTATCGTGACCGCGAAGTACTGCGTTTTGTTTTACGGTACGCTAAAGATGACCCCACCTGTATAATAATAGACAGCACTCAGCGTAACCGATACATATTTCTATGGCTAGCGATACATATGTTAACTTTTAATGCTCGTCTAATATTTTTTCGGCTGTCAATATCATTATCCACCATCTCAAATCCACACAAAATCATATTATAACGTCGATTCATTGCAACGTAAATACGAACAGACATTCCATCTATAATATTAATAACCTTTATATATAACAGCAGGACGTCAGATTACCATAATATATCAAACGCAATTAATTTTGAGATCTAACCCCAATGCATTGAGTTTAATATAACCTAACTTGCTGTTAACTGTGATATATTATAGATCTAAAAAAAGAAATATTTCCTCAAATTGAAAAGGACGTATTACTTCAACTATCTGTCACTAGATGGTAGCACTAGCGCATGTAGGAAACATTTTTTATACACGTCAAACGCCATTCACAGAGTAGCGTGCGAAAAGTAAAGTAACAAAGAGTATAGTAGGAAAATAATATTTCTCGAATGTATTATTACCAGTGGTCGGAATTAGGTAGAGTTATTTATGTACTTACACTGATTTCATACAGCGAAAGAATAAAGTGGATATGCCTCAAATCCCGAGATTAATTTTAAAAAGCAGAAAAAAACCGTGATTTTTTAAATAAAAAGTTATTTACTTTTACACAATTTAAACTACTGCACGCACGACGTTGCCAAACTTACATCAATGAAAGAAAGAAATAAAGAAAGAAGAAATAAAGAAATAAGAAATCCCGGGAAGGTCCACATTAATATCAACATTTCGATGCAAGTACATAAATAACTCTACCTAATTCCGACCTCTGATTATTACAAACAGTGTAATGATGTCTAATAATACATTATACTGCATGTTGGATGTAAGAAGAAAGGGAATCATTCATTTAAAAATGTTCTAGAGAGTTTGTTTGTTTACTACACACGCTAGTGGAGCCATCTACGCTGAGGTTTATGTGATATCCTCTATTGTAGCTTATCTGATGACACACTAATTGCGTATATGAATTTAAGAGGACGCACACTCAAAATCACTAACTTGAAACTGGTTATATACAAAAAAAAACTATTTATCTATAAAAAATCTGTCACAGCCAAAACGATAATTCATAAAATTTTCTCTACAAACAAAAGAATATTAAGTTACCTACCCAAAAAATTCATAATAATATCACCTTTTTAAAGGTGAGAATTCATGCGGGTTATTCAGCAACCGAAGCCGAAGGAAGGTCGAAGCTTTTTTACCAATTATCACTACATCAGGAAGGAATCGAATAGGGGGAATTGGCCATGGCCCCACCACACGGACCCAGTGCGGATTGGTGAGTGTTAACGATTGCAGATGCCGCCGGGACCAACGCCTCAACCTTCCGAAGCATGGAGGACTTCGAGACAATTAACTTTCGGTCACCCATCCTATGACCGGCCATCGACGAAAGTTGCTTAACCGTATCACAGACCCCTTAAAAGTAATTAATTAACAACAGTTTTTGACGTGAAATTAGTCTTCGTCCTCGTCTATCTTACGCTGGACTAATGAGATAGACAGAGTCAAAGGTTTCACGCCCCATAAACAAACAGAATCAACAAATTTTCGATATCTGCTATTCATATATCTTTTTGTGAAAAGAATCCCGTTAAAGTTATTACACTACTTTGTACACCCGTAAAACTCGTAAAATTCATATAAATACACACTCTCTTGTAAAATAATAACAGAACTAATTAAATACAGCCTGTTCCTTTTGCTTAAAGCAAAAAAATCACTAAAAAAAACAGCTTTTCTATCACTCTATACATCTATGGTTCAAAGACTAAATGACTGAACCATAAACAATACGAGCCAAATAAGAATAGGATCGGTTAGCTACCAAATTCACGGATTAGCTGTCATTTAGTACCGACAGCAAAAACATAGCTAAATAATTTGCGGAATCGTTTAACTTTTTACATTTTCAATTATCGGGTTTTAGTATTGACACGGCTTTATTGAGAATTAATTAATATGTTTCCTAAATTGGTCTTTTAGGTTATAAACTAGATATAAATAAAGCGGATTTTGTCGCAACGTTGACGCTTGTTGAATTCCAAATGTCAATGTACCGTAATCTTTTACAACGATGAGTTGATTTATAAAAAAACTAGCTTACCGCCAGCGGCTTCGCTCGCGTGGTCCCTAAGGAACTCATTATTTGAATATCGATTCACACGGATAGAATAACAATGACAAATTTAATAGTAAACAATTATTACAATGGCAACATTTAAATTCCCCAAATTCCACTCCCATTTTCATCCATTTATTTTCCATTTCTCGAGATAAAATAAAGCCCATGTTCACCGCATATAAAGTAGCTTCTCTTAGGTGAAAAGATTTTTAAAATCGCTCCAGTAATTTCTAAGTCTATTCGTTGCAAAATAACCAACAATAAAATCTTTCCTGTTTATAATATTAGTGAGTATAGATAAATAATTTTCGTTCCTTTTTTGCACACACTACATCTTGAAGATGATGCAAAATTCAAACCAAGCTGTAGGGCAATTCTACTAATGTTCTAATGAGGAATAATAAGAACGCACCAAAAAATCACCCCCACTAGATGGCGACTCTAGCAAAAGTTGATTTTTACAGGAAACGAATGGACCAAAGACAGTCATTTCCGTTCCTTTTAACTAACATATTAAAAAACGGATAATATCAATATAAATACGAAAAAGTACAAATAGAATATGAGTTGTTTATCGAGTTTTTAAAACTAATTTACTTTTAAACATGAAAGAAAACCGGAAGGGTTGTCATGGAGAAATCAAGAACGTACCGTAGCGACATCTAGTTCGATTTCGGGAACTAATGTTTTTTTTTAAATACTTCCTCATTATGAAAAGCCCATAGCGCTTCAACTACAACCCTTTATGTCACAGTACTTAAAATACATCTGTCACTATCCATATGTGACATTTTACACTTAAAATATTGGACTTCAGGCAAGTATTTGACTCTATAACTTGCCATCATGTAAAATGAAAATGAAATAAATGAATAATTTCATTTTCATTTTACATGTAGAAATTAATTTATTTACTTGACATTGGCAAAATTGTGCGAAATGCGCAGATAAGCCATTAAATAAAAAAGAAGAAGAACTTCAGTCCGTCAGATGCGATTATAAAATAGCATAATCAGTCCTATTCTTATTTGGCTTAAATAAATAAACTAGAGCCGTATTTTTTATTTTTCAACTGAAAACACAGCTCTTCTTTATAGATAAATCCTCTTTGCCTCGATTCTTGTCTCTGTTCATAGAATATTGTCTATAGCCACCGCCAATGATTCCGAGTAATATTATAAGTCCGACCATAGAGTTAGATTTGAACTTTTCAGCGCAATCGTTGGGATTGTCGACGTTTAAAGTGTATATCTGTAAAAAAAGAGAAAGGATAAAGTACTACCGGCTAATAAGGCCCATCGATTTTAACCGCTGGAGTGAAAGAGAGAAAAATAAGGTGCCGCCGGCTAATAAGGCCCACTGTTTTGGCCGCTGGAGTTCTAAAAAAAATAACTGGCATATGTCTCAAAGACCGACTTACATATCCTTAAAGACAGAATAATGTAATTTTAAGCTGTATTAGAGGGTTTTAGCACTTTAGCGGTCAAAAGCAGTGGGCCTTATTAGGCGATATTACCTTAAAAAAAGTCGATTAGTAAATGCATCACTATTTTTAATATTACAACACGATAAGTCAGTAGCTCAGTGGCATTATGGATGAACGTCGCGGCCCACGATCGTTGTCGTTAAGCAACTTTCGCTATGGTCTGTCACGGGATGGGTGACCGAAGAATTTTATTATTTCGAGCTAATGTGTGCTTACACGTTCAGTTGTTAATACCCACCAAGGCCCATTCTCCGTATTCGATTTGATCCATAGGTAAGGCATGAACCCCAGCATCCACAGGGAAGCTACATCATACGCGGGCGACATAGGCTATGATAGAGATGATGACTAATTTTTGTCTATCCATCAGGCAGATTATTAAAGGATATTGAACCGCGTATTTTATTTTGCGTAATCAGTAAATTACGGCGCTACATCGAGTTCAAATGTCGCATGACGTCACGCCTTTGTACATTTTCTACATAGCAGTGACGTAGCGAGCCCACACTCGTCAACATGAATGCATTGCTTATTTAAGCGATTTCTTGTTAAATTAAAGCTAAAAAAAAGTATCTAAAATTTTTCTATTTGTCTGACTGACTGAGCTCGGTGGCTTACTGGATAAGCGCCGCGGCCCGCGATCGTTGTCGTTAAGCAACTTTCGAAAGGGTCGGTCACGGGATGGGTGACCGAAATATTATTACCTCGAGCTACGCCGTGCTTCGGAAGGCACCTTAAGCCTTCACGTTTGCAGTCGTCAATACCCTCCAATCCGCATTGGGCCAGTATGGAGGGTCATGGCCCATCCTCCTTAACCATCTATAAGGAAGGCCTGAGCCCCTGCAGTGGGGACGTATAAGGGCTGACAATGATATCTGACTGATGGACTAAATAGATATTTCTTTTTTTTTTAACCAGGCATCATCCTTATTCACGTGGCCGAAGTCGCGGGCAATCAGCTAGTCGAGGATATTTACCTGCCTCCCGGCGTGCGCTAGATACGCTAAAAGCGCTCCATAATACCCAACGTCTAATCCTGCAGCGTAACCAGCGCTAGCGAAGCAAGTTACGCTTGTTAACAAAGCTGCTGTAAGCGCTGGTTTTGTATGTTCACCGAACGTTAGGGCAGTTGATTTCATACCAATACGGGCGTCATCGTCTTTGTCCTAGAATAATATTACTTTTGAGAATTTTTTTTTTATTAGGTTTATTTACAGTAGTTTTTGTATAGTATTACCGATAATCACAATTTAATGGCTATTATATTTATAATATTGTTATATTAATTACAAAAAACCAACCACGTGACCCCGAATCATGTCACGTGACCGCAAACAGCGCGTGACGTCACGCCCCTCTTACCCATAACAGAACATATGAGAATTCAACCATATGCATACATAGTTTTATAATAAGTTTTATATACGACATTAGTCTTAGGTCCCGACGTGACGTCATAGCGACGCCATGATAGAAGATGGCGTTTCCGCGGGAAATTTTGGAAGATTTTATATTTAGATTTTAACTTACTACATGAATTATACTTTTTTAATATTTTATTTTAGATATATTTCATGTATATCTATAAAATAAAAATATTCTAAAATGTGTCTACACCCATATCAGAATAGACTTGTAATATTGTAAAATGCAATTAGAAAATATTTCATTCAATTAAAAATTAGTATTATCACTAGCTCGGTATAAGATAGGAAAACCTGAAGCATATAAAACCGGAAGCATAAGTAATACAAGGGTCAGGTGCAAGACAACTATATTGACCAGTGAACGATTTTAAAATATGTAACATCAAAAATCTAATACAAAATCTACAAAGATTATGATTCCAAAAAGATTAAAAAAGTATAAACTATGTACAAAAAGGATATAATTCATAACAATTAAGTTCACAACACAACACAACCCAGGGTATGTTCCGATATACACTGCGAGCACTGCGCAGTGGTCTTACTGCTGAAAAATCCGTTCCGTTATGGACTGCCAGTACACTGCTACAGTACCCTAGGGAAATTTATGACGTCATAAATTGCCGCCATATTTGTACTGTGAGCACTGGAGATTTCGAAGTAAGGTGCTCGCAGAGCTTTTGATCACGTGATCAGTCGAAACAGAATCAGAAAATGATAAGTTTCTAAATAAACAAAAAAAAAAATACTTACGTTTATTATAAGATGGATTTAATTGATAAATAATTTTTTTATACACGATTTTCCAATTTTCTTTTGAAAAGAGGGAATCTTTATATTTATATTCACCTTGCATTAACAAATTTGAAAATGGCGCCAAAAAATAGGATTAACAGTATACTGGACTGCGTTCCGTTTTAAAAAGTCACCAGTATAACTCGCTATAAAGGAACGGGCTTCCAGTATACTAAATTGACGTCATACTGTTCAGTGGTCGCAGTGTATATCGGAACATACCCTAGAACAATATTTAGTAGAATTTATATAATAACTACATAAATAGGTTACAGGGGGGTTGGGGGGTTAAAAAATCCTGACTTTTGTGTGACGTAATCTATGGATGGCCCCTAATTCAAATTTGTTAATGTCAGATAATCCTAATCATGTTAATCCTATTTTTTGGCGCCATTTTCAAATTTGTTAATGCAAGGTGAATATAAATATAAAGATTCCCTCTTTTCAAAAGAAAATATTATAAAATTGGAAAATTGTATAAAAAAATTATTTATCGATCAAATCCCTCTTATAATAAACGTAAGTATTTTATTTTATCTGTTTCGACTGATCACGTGGTCAAAAGCACTGCGAGCACTGCACCTCGAAATCTCCAGTGTTCACAGTACAAATATGGCGGCAATTCATGACGTCATAAATTTCCCTACAGTACTGTAGCAGTGTACTGGCAGTCCATAACGGAACGGATTTTTCAGCAGTAAGACCACTGCGCAGTGCTCGCAGTGTATATCGGAACATACCCCTAATGTCACAGTTCGTCCCCCCCCCCCCTCTCCTAGTGTGACGTAATTTATAAATATTTGTACACTGACCAAGTCGGCAAGAATGTGTGTGCTTTCTTTGAAAAATAACAACATATCCGTGACCAATTTCTTACAAATAAACATAATTTAATTTCATTAACAATATATATTTAATGGTAATTCTTACCTGATGCGCGTATATGGTGTCATACACTACAGTCCAGGCTAAAGCACCTATATACATCGGCAGACATATCGCCGGATTTATATTCCCTTGTATAGCGCTATAACCTAATAAAGCGCCCCAATTGAATGTTGCGCCTAGAAATATCTGTGGGTAATTCGTGAAGCGTTTCGCTAGCGGGTACGTCACTACCAAGACTGAAAAAAAAAATCATATATTAAAACTACCTATAGTTTTTCTGTTTGCTGGATCGAGAAAGATACTGGTATTAAGCGAAAGTTCTTTACAAATATGAAATTTAAAAAAAATATTTATTTATATATCTTTCTGCAAGCGGCTTCGCCGGCGTGGTCCTGTATCTATCTAATCTAAATATATATAACTCAAAGGTGACTGACTGACATAGTGATCTATCAACACACAGCCCAAACCACTAGACGGATCGGGCTGAAATTTGGCATGCAGGTAGATGTTATGACGTAGGCATCCGCTAAGAAAGGATTTTGATCAATTCTACCTCCAAGGGGATAAAATAGGGGATGAAAGTTTGTATCAAACTTTGTCATTTTAAACCGATAGGGCTGAGACTTTGCATGCATAAAGCTACTATGACTTAAACATCCCCTGAGAAAGGATTATGATCAATTCTACCTCGAAGGGGATAAAATAGGGGATGAAAGTTTGTATGAAACTTTGTCAATTTTTAACCGATCAGGATGAGACTCCGCATGCTTAAAGCTACTATGACGTAAGCATCTTCTAAGAAAGGATTTTGATAAATTCTATCACTAAGGGGATAAAATAGGGGATGACTCTATTTCAGGTATTTTACACGATATAATGAATAAATATTCGTTAGAAATGCTGCTCAAAGTAACTTTACCACGCGGACGAAGTCGCGGGCAAAAACTAGTTATACATTTTTTTTTTTATTTACATTACATAATTAAACATAGTTACACTTTTTAAGTTTTTTTACAGCATTTATAAACCACGAAGGTTTGTGCCAATGCTATTTATACCGGGTGTTACAAAAATACCCGTTATAGCTGAAGGGTGTTGAAGTATATCATATAAACAATACTCTGCCAAATTTTCAAAACCTTTGCATTAACTTTTAACTTTCAGTAAAAAGGCTAATTTTTAATAATTAATAAATACATCGAGTGTGCTATGTCACATCACTATTTTAGGTTAATGACCTTACCAGGAGTAATGGCACACTACCTATCTCCTATGTTTTCTAATTTTTTTTTTTCTATTCTCCTAGTACACACCCACACATACACGCTAAGAATGAGAGAGAAAATATACTTAAAAACATGTCTGCGTTTGCCAGTTTACACAGTAAATACTTAACCTATTTCGATCGAAAATAAAATGAAAAGAAATTAAATAGGAATCAAATCATTGGCAAAATGGTATGGTAACCGACGCTGTTCAGCCGGTAGTCTAATTTCAGTAAAAAAAATTATAATACATATTATTATCAACGCGCACATCATTTCATAGCATCGTTTCCGACTCAGCTGTTTCTGAATTACAGATCAAACACCATTTTAAGTAGTACCTATTTATGATAGATAGGTAAAATTTATTTAAACACTGATATACGAGTCTAACTTTTAGTTCATACTTTAATGGTCCGACAAATCTGATTGATATTACGTTAATAAAAAAAAATATGATATGCGACATAATTCACAAACGATTTTGGCGTATTTAAAAATAAATATTTGCGAATTACTATTTGTACTTTACCTTTTCACTTCCTTATTCACTGTTTAAGCATTACTTGTGAGGTTCACTCACCTACACTTTATTAGGCACTTAATTTTATTCCACAAGAAAAAACTAAAGATCGCGGCCAACCTCTGGTTCACTGACGTTTCAGTATAATTACATCTTTTCAAAATAGTCTCAATTTATATCAATACAACACTGCATCCCATGTAACACTGATAAAAGCACTTTTCATAGTACTCGGAATTAGAGAACACGGACATTTTCGAAACGCGATCACATCGACGACGTATGAACAACTGAATAAAGAAAAAGTGATAAAAAGGGAAAGCCGCCAATTTGAGTCCTTTATTATAAGCCGCTGCATAGTGTGCGGCATGTCAAAGGCGCACAGAAAGGTACCTATAGTTCCGCAATTAAATCTGAGAAGTAGCGGGATAGGGTTGCCATCTTCTCTTATTAGATCGGAAATTTTGTCCTTAAAGCCGGACTAAGTCAAATCTCTCGCGAAGTCGTAAAACAATATTACCGTAGTAGACAGTAATATTAGTTCACGGCTTCGCGAGGGTTACTGCCTAGTTATTCAGAGGGTGCGTTAAGCAAAAATCACTAACTTTCAATTGATTTTGTAGTGAGACGTAACATACAAATAAGCGGTAATTAAAGATAAGATAACTACAGCATAATTTTAACGCTTTTATCACAGCCAAAACGTGAATTCATAAAGGCTTGATCGTAACATCAAAACTGCACAACCTATTTTGAAAAAGGTTTTTTTATAAAGTAATTTCGGAGACTATACGATGCAAACAAACTAACGATTTGTATTCAAATTTCGCAAATGCCCGTGCAACACTGCGTCTTTTTGGGTATTTGGGTATTTGACGTTTTTCGAATTTGTGTGTTATCATAGTTTATTTGATATAGCTTCGGCACAGGTATACCAAAAACCTATGAAAACTATACCGCCGGACATGTGACATTAACATTTAGCTGCACACAATCTATAAAGTCAAACATGTCCCGCTAAAGACGGATAAATGACAACCCTAGATTGGCGGCAATGTTAAAGTTTGAAAGCCTAAACTTCTAGTTGCCTAGTACCGAGGTGATCAACATTTTATTGTACAAATTAAAAAAAAATCGTCGCAGGACATTGTTGCAACTAATTTTTTTACATACGTACGTAAGTACATAATACGTAACGTATTAGGAATTGTTAATTGACAAAGATTTTGTAAATTTTCATTGTTGTTGATAAGATAGTACATGGTTGTATTTTTAGTATTTACAAATTTAAACGTTGTTAAAGACTAGTTTAAGTGAGAAATGTGATATACTTTCACGCTGCACCTGCAAACGAGCATGCTTGGCTCAGTCTGTAGAGAGGAAGTAGCATCGACTATTATAAGACATCGTTAAATAAATAAATTAATGTATTTCGTGGGCCGTAGTAATCTGCATACAATCGACATACCTGTTTAAAATTTCAACTCATTTTATACACCTTTTCTATTTTGAACTATTTTTCAAATAAATGACCATTTGTTTGTTAGCTGTGTCGGTCGTTTTAGGGCTTTTTCTATTTAAGGAAATAGGTAAACAGTACATAATAAAACGTCTCATTCATTTTCATTTCTTACAGCATTAAAATAGTGAATCCTATACTCTGAGTCTAAAATTCAGTTGAATAGCCCACAGTAATAAAATAGATAATAAATTAAAATCGGTACCAAATGTTTACTACTACCGTATCTAGCGTCTAGTAGTCACTCGCGCGCGACATCACACAAACACGAACGATAATGTTTCGTTTCTTTCTCTCTCTCTCTCTCTTTCCCTCCCTCTCTATCTCTATCTTACGTCATTGTACACTCGGGGGAATAAGTGAATTTGTTTTAGGCTTGATTTTACCGATTATGTATTGATTTGTCTTACGTATTTGAATACCTAAACAATAAAAAATATTTTTAAGAGTTAAGCTAATGAAGTTATTTCTTAGCACCGGATACAACCCTTCCTGCGCGAGTCCAACTCTCACGTGGCCGGTTTTTTTTTATAATTAGTTGTTAGCAGTTTGATAAAACTAGGACTTTTGACTAGTGAAATATAAAAAAACTTCAGTTATTGAGAATATTCAGTTGAGATTTTGTACTTTTCTCAATTCAGAAAGCGGCTCTTTGTCGACATTTTTTCTTGTCAGACGTTTTTAAGATACCTAAGTGTAGTGCATATCATTAACTCTAAGGTAGCAATCCATTTTACTTGAAACAATTTACATGTAGTAAGAGTAAGTGGTTGAAACCATAATCGGGAATGATCATATTCCCGATTAAGGTTCATATTCCATTTTAAGTCTGATCTTTTTATTGTAAAAATATTAGAAAAGAAATAAATTGATCATAAACACAATTGAAATATGTACACGAATATTTATCAATGTTTCAATTTATTCCCCGACTGTATCTGCGCTGACGTCATATTAGGTTTACTTTCGTAACAGAAGATTGTAGGTACGAGTACCAGGTTATCATGATTTAAAGACACGATGTGTAAAAATTCTGGTTCAAAGATGAAGCAGCTACAGATAGACAAAGTTACCTGGAAGACACTCAGTGATATACGTCGCCTACTTTCATAATATTGTAATTATTTTCATAAAAATGAAACTACCTAATTATGAAAAAAAATTGTTCGTGCAATAACGAATATTCCACTTATCTAGAGGTCGCGATATTTCTTCTTCCTCTGCTTCTCTATTTGTTTAGATTAGATGAAATTGATTTTATGAGTACATTGTTGAGTGACGTGTCGTAGCATTAATTATAAAGATTATCATTTCTGATGGGCCGTCTACAGTTCGTAAAGAGATATTGTACGAGCATTTCAGGCGAAAGTATTTAATCCAGTGCAGTGACTATAGCGTACTGTTTATTGTTTGTTTCCGTGCCTGATATGTGCGTAGCACGGGCATAGTAATATGGCAAGGTATATTGGAAAGGGAGCTCTAATCTGAATAAAAACGAATTTTGGAAATAGTTTTAAAATAATGTTTTCGTGTAATATTTTGCATGTTCGAATATTTGCGTATGTACACATAACTAGATAAATTATTTCGCTGTACTGTGACGTAGGCACTAAATACCAGTAGATATAACCAGTCTGGCAAAATAATAGTCTTTGATTTAGAAGTCAATGAACTGAAACAGCTGATCATAATGTCGGTGTGCTTCGATAAATGGTATCGAAAATTTTGCTAAACTTCGATATTGTTTTTTTTTAAATAAATACAATGGCTACGATATAAAGGACAGCGTCCATTATCTCAGTTTTATGTATACTCAATGCCATTTTCGGGGTAACGGGTTTTTTTGTAACACGCGGTATATCTGTACTAATTAATTAGGTTTATCTGTACTAATTAACATAAAAACCTTCCTTATAAATCACCCCATCTATAAAAAACTAATCATTTTGATTATCCCCATCTATAAAAAACCTTGGGAATGGTTATAGATTCAAGCATACATATGGACGAAACGCGACTTGTTTCATAAGCAACTTGCATACATAAGGACTGACAGACAGAAAGCGACTTTGTTTATACTATGTATTAATGAAGCAACTTACGCATACTACTTGCTCCAAGTAAAACAGAGTAACAATTCAACTGCAATAAAACTCCGAGTGCTAGTGTCAACTGAGCCCCGAGGAATGCTAAAGCTTGCTTATCTGATATAGCACCTGATACCAAAGGTCTATCCTTGGTTCTCTCCACCTGAAAAAAAAACATATATAAAGCAATTCCTACTTAGGGCGAGGTTGTACGTTTTATGTAAATTAAACATACTAGCAAAAAACAAAAACGTAAACTTCAATATTTTTTTTGGATTGATTTTATGAATAAGGTATTTAAAAATATCTTACTTCTCTCTTACTCTTAACTATATAAAAATACATACAAATATAGGTTATGACATAATCTAAAGAGTACAAAAATATATATATATATAACTGCTTTATTATATTTGTGTTGACATGAAATATATCTAAAAATATATGTTTAAAAAGTGTCATTCATATAAAATGTTTAAATAGAATTTTTTTTTCCAATCTCTGAAAGATCGAAGATCAGGCAGTATATATTAAGATTCCTTTGCCTACTCGTTTTAAAGAAAAATATTTGAAAACATCAACAGAAAGTGTTTATTTTAAATGAAATAAGTTGTGATGAAACAAAATGTTTTCTTGCATTTAAAATAAATCGAAATTTTTACTTTTTTTATACTCGCGAAAATATTAGAGTGAGATAGAAAATATGTGAGATCAATAAATTGTGCGCGCGACGGTATGTGTGGGTAGTCAGTGTATGCTTTTATATATTCCATATCAAAAAAAATGTTCCGTGAAGAACAAAACATTTTCGTTAAGGAATGTAAAAAAAAGGCTACAAAAACATGTGTTACTCAGATCAAGCACACAAATGAAAGTTGTGTCATTAAAATCTCACCTAAACATAGCGCCGCGCACACAAATGACTGGAACTATCTATATCTTTCTCCCTCTAAATCATACATACCTGCCTATCCACATCCTTATCCCACATATCATTAATAGTGCACCCTGCACCACGCATCAAACCTGCACCAATGAGAAACAGTCCTGCCATCTGCAAGCTGGTTTGAAGAGGAACCGTGCCGGGAATTGATCCTAGCGCTATCGCCCACGAACAGGGCCAATACAATAGGTAGACACCTAAAAATAAAAATGGTCCTAATACTGTGCCTTATGGTACTATAAATTTTTTTTATGGTACTATACATTTGTATATCATCAGATCAGTAACATAATATGTATTACATATATGTGGGTAGGTAATTAAATAAATAAACATTAGACAACATCACATACACTGCTCAGATCTCAAGCACATTTGCTAAAGCTATGATAAGAAGATACAGAGGGAGTATTCTGTTTTATTTGTCACTGAATGCATACTCAAAAAAAATTCATATCATTCTTATAATTTTATTTAATATCAGTGTGGCATCATAAAAAATGTTTTTTGACTTGAATATAAATAAAATTTTGATTTCAATAAAAATAATTCTATAATAAAAAGAGTTAAAATATGTAATAGACAATAACATTCCCTAGACAGGCCAGATATTCTATATAACCTTGGTATTATATGGAATACCTGAAAATATATACAAAACGCTTACCAATAGGTCTGTCCCATCTTGCCAATTTCACATAAGGATCAACCTTTCTTTTCCACAGATAGCTTAACGTCCTTTCATCAATTAATTTATCTGGTAACACCTTATCATACACTATTTTAGGTTCTGATGTCTCTATAACAACTTTTTGTCTATGTTGATCACTTTGCGTAGAATGTACCCTTACATTATAGAGATTATCTAGTCTTTGGTTTAGTATAAATACTTGTTGGCACATACAAGATCTTATAATAGGTGTGTTCAAAAATTGTCTTTGGAAACTTGTGTTTAAACTTTTTAATTGCAATAGTTTCTTCATCTGTATTATATTATAAGTTTTTATTGTTCCATTAAGCATCTTGTAAATAATTTTTTACTGCATTGCTCTGAAATAAAAAAAAATATAAGTTAAAACCTGCTTTTAATAAATACAAATAAAGCTACATTAGATTGTTATTGGGTGGATATGGTTGTTAATATACTTTTTGCTCATGATAGTATAAAATTGTGGATAGATGAAATGTGACAAATTTATATGAAATTTATTTTTTCTTTTTCTATTTTATATAAAATATTGTTTCCATACTAAGGACTTGTATGAATTATTGGAATATATTTTTCTTTATGCACAATTCCTCAGCCAATGGTAAATGTACGAATAAGTCAGGACCTCCTGCCCAGTTCCTATCTATCGGGTTGTTAATAAAAAAGCAGTTTCATTATTTCATTAGTCCCTTCCGATTGCCTATCACCCAGTTGCACAAATGTCCATTAAAATTTTCATTATTTTAAAACCATATTACCCATACAAATTTGACATTCATTAGAGGCATCATTAAATCTTAATTTTATTACATTTAGTTTAATCAGTATTAGCACAATCACCGCCTATTGATTCAGAACTTATTTCAATGAAAATTTTATTTGATTATAGCTTGTAACAAATACAAATGTTCTTTTAAATTATAAAGTTAATTATAACAGACTGGAGAATATTTTTTTTTTTTTGACTAAATAAAAATAAAAAAACCTCTTGAAAGCTTTAAGACATGCTCTATAAATAAAAGAAAATAGAAAAGTACAATACTAAGGACAAGGCTGCATGGTCATTAGATCTTTGCATCAAACGGAAAAAACCTACACAAGTTAGAATTCTACAACAAACCAAAACTTTATTTTCCTATATAATCATAAAATTACAGATATAACCTTCAAAATGACATGGTACTTACGTAAACAGTCGTTAAATTAATTCGGCACAAAAAGTAACTTATAACACATAGAAACAACAACATATAATTTATGCTAATAATTCTAATAGTTCAAGGCTATTTATTAGAATATCATAAGTTCAATAACGAGGTTAGTCATTTAAATGAAATTCTAACTGTTTTAAGTCTCCCCGTAGTTTCAATTGTGTAGTCAGGATCCTACCAACGTTTTATTATAGTTTTGAAGATTCGAATGATGAAAAATATAAAGTAAAATATGAAAAACACAAAAAAACACACGTTCTGAGCTCGCGGTGCATAAAACCAACATAGAACTGTCAGAAACAATATAATCTGTGACTGTCAGTTCTTGATTTCTTGACATTACATTATTGACAGACAGTAATAGATAATGATGACAAAACATACCGATAGTACAAAAATGGTCAAGAATCTGCTGCTCTAGCTTATATTTTTCCTTCTATAGAAATACTAAGTATGTATGTGTGTGCGTGTGTATCTATGAGGAAGTATTAAAAAAAAACGAAAGCACTAAAAACACCTCCACTAGATGGCGATTCTTGCAAAGTTAATTTTTGCAGGAAACGCGATTCGATTCTGCGAAAATACAAACCCAAATTTGAATTCACGTATGTGTCCGAATAAGAAAGTATTTAAAAAAAATAGTTCCCGTAATCAAACTAGATGTCACTACGGTACTTTCTTGATTTCTGCATGACAACTCTTCCGGTTTCCTCTCATGTATATAAATAAATGCCCAAATGTATATAAGTAAACGGTTAAATGCACAAAAAAATATAATTATAAATTAATTGAGGAAATATAATTTCTTAATGAATTCCATAATTTAAAATGACGCTGCATGCACAATATGCAAACACAGCGCAAACTAAAAATTGGTCATACTTTGAGCTAAAAATGTAGAAAGCATCAAAACAAGTCTAATAATGTATTAGGACAAACACATAAAATAAACTAAATGGTTCACAAACATTTTTTCGATTATATGCTTATACAATAATTTCTATAGCCACTCATATACAAAAATACTAACATCCAGTCACATCCATCCAGAGTTTAAGTTCTGACAAAGTTATTTTTATATACAATACAGTTTTTAATTCTTAGTTTGAAAACTTTTTCTATAATATTACTTTAAACGAATACCACCATTAAAATTGGGTCGTTTGTTCATTTGTGTTTGGGTGTTAATCATTTATTTCTTTCGTGGTGCGTCATGGTCCAGTCCGTGTCACTGAACGTCAAACGGATACTCAATAAAAGAACAAGAATATATTATTTTTTACTTCAATTTAACAAGAAATAGCTTAGATAACAGACATTAAAGTTGAGGAGTGGGGGCTCGCTACGTCACAGTTGAGTAGAAAACGTACCATAACGTGACGTCATGCGAAATTTCAACTCCATGTAACGCCGTAATTTTATGATTACGAAAAAAATAAAAAAATATATGTTTAATATTTTTTAACACTCTACCTGACGGACAAACAAAAAAATCCCTATTGTCAGTGTTGTTATGGATCTGATAACTCGGATTAATATGGAGTTAAAATTTAATTAGTTCGAATTATGCAAACGCAACTCGATTAATACAAAGTAATCTTTGAATAAATTTCTTTTTTATTTATATAGAGGAAAATGGAAACTTACATAATGGAAGTGAGCACAGAGGTTTTTTTTTTAATGGGAATAAATTGAATTAGTGCTGCGATATATTTAAAAGTGGCATTTAGCTACGGTATACAATAATATTACCGCCAAATAGTTTTATAAATAAAATACTTGTGCCATAGTAGGTCTAGGAATTTTTCATTATAATATTTAACAAAAGTTCTGAAAGCAATAACAACTCGATAAATTAGTTTTATTGCTATTAGTTGTTTGTTGAACTAACAACAACAAAACTACATAATATTTTTATATTATGTATGGTGAATTAATGAATAGGGTGTATTAATCAGTAACAAAAGTCATAAAAACGATAATTATTATGAAAAATATGATTATTATCTATATACTTACCCGATATGTATCAAATATACTAGGTATTCGTACAAAATAACATAACTTCTCGCTAAAATGACTTTTGTGCTAAGTGAAATGTACAAATAACTTGTGCTTTCGAAATTAAGTCTTTAAAAAACTATACAGGCTGAATTCTGCTATCCGGTTTTTGTTCTTCATTCCAAACCTGAATTCGGATGAAAATTACCAGTAACCAATAAGTTGGCACATCACTAATGTTGACGTATAAACCAAACATCGTTCCTTTACACGTAACACAAAAAACAACTTAAACTTACGATTAAAATAAATTAAAATTAATTTGAAAGTAAGATATTATAAGAAACATAAAACTTTGTCATTTTTATTAATTTTAGATACTAAATTTCCTAAAAAATCTAGATGTTGATCAAATTATTGTTATGTTTTTAATATCGATATATCGATACCTTATCTGTCAAAAAATTCTCAACAATAAAATCTGGGACCCTTTCATTACATTTCGATGATATTTCACGAAAATACGTGATGTAGGTAGTAGAAAATTGTGAATATCTTGTTGCATGCAGTCATGGAAACAACAGTTGAAGTAGAAAGAGTGAGTTTTTTCTGCTATTTGAATAATTTTAATAAACAGTTTTTGATTCTATGAAAAGATACAAATCCAAATTATTAATTGAAATCTATTTACTAATAATCATTTATTATTGCCATTGAATTAAACCATTATAACCGATTGAACTATCCTATTAATATTATAAATGTGAAATGTCTTTGAATGTTTGTTCGTCAATCACGCCGCAACTACTGAATGACATTTGGTATACAGATAGGGTATTAGCTGACTTAGATAATAGGATACTTTTTATCTTACTTACATTTCCCTAGGGACCATGTGGGCGAAGCCGCCGGCGAAAGCTAGTTTAGGAATATATCGTCGGTCCAGTGGTAAACTATGCAATCTGCACAAGTCCATCTTTTCAAGGAGCAAAAAGAAGTCAAAAATTGATACTGTAAAACAGATAAAAAAATAATCAGATTAACTTGTTTACCATGGTACATATAGAATGAGACAAGTAAAATAATTTAACTGAGCCAAAGTGGTAGATATGTGAGACTACGGTGGCGTATTGTATACGACATACAATTTTGATTGAAAACTAGCCTAAGTGATTCTTTGCATCAAGGTAAACTATTCAATCTGCCATTTAAACAAGTTGACCACAGTGATTTTTAGTTCATTTTTTCCCATTAATTAGTTTACTTTTGCACTAATTTTAGATGAGCAGATAAGCACTTTTGAACAACATTTATCTCGGTAACTATTAAGCTTACAGTTATAGGATTTTGCCACATTGTAGATATTATTAAAAAAATTGATTTGGCATATTTAACTCAAAACTGCCAAAATTGCAGATTGAATAGTTTACCACTGGACCGACGATATATAAGTTATTGTTATAGAAAAAAACTGAAATATCTTGGTTTTAATATTTAAATGAAAATATTTTAAAACTTACAATTGTCTTTTGCTCTATACCAACACTGTGACATAATAAGTAAATCTATACTAATATTATAAAGCTGAAGAGTTTGTTTGTTTGAATGCGCTAAACTCAGGAACTACTGGTTGGAATTTTTTTATTTTTTTTTATACATCTTCTATCAGCCTGATGGCTTTAATCAGATTGGATGTTCTGCTCTTGGACTTTTGGAGAATGCACATCCAGCAATGTGTCATCTCTTATTATTATAATAAACCTATATTGAGGCCAATTGCTTTCTTTTAAGCCGAAGTAGCCAGTTGTCTCTGTGTGTGAGCTGAGAAGCCAGATGGTTGATGTGTCGCCCCAGGCGTTGATTGTAGGACACAGAGGAACTCTTTATTTCCTCGTTAACTGTCGGAATTTCCAAGTATTCATGCACTTCCATATTCCGTGTGAATCATGGCGCATTTATCAATTTCTTTAACACTGTTCTGGTAGCGCTGGAGGATTTCTACATTCGTGTGACTCGCTGATCCCCAAAGTTCAATACCATATGTCCATATCGGTTTTAGGATGCACTTGTAAATAAGGACTTTATTTTCCAGACTTAAAGTTGATTGTCTGCCCAACAACCAGTACATATCTCTAAACTTTTTGTTTGCCTTTTCTCTTTTGGCCTTTATATGAGCCCGCCAAGTGAGTCTTCTATCTAGGTGCATGCCTAGGTATCTAACTGCTGTGTCTGTTGACAATAGAGCACCGTCCAGTGTCACGGACGGGCAGTCTCCTCTCTTTAGAGTGAACGTGATGTGGACCGATTTCGCTGGACTTGCGCGGATTCTCCACTTCTTTAGCCATAGTCTAATTTCGTCCAGACATTCCTGCAGTTTTGCGGATGCTGTGTTTGGATCTTTACTACAGGAGAGAACTGCCGTGTCATCTGCATAGGTTGCAGTCACAACTTTATCTGAGGTGGGTAGATCAGCAGTGTAAACCGTGTATAGAACCGGACCTAGCACCGAACCCTGGGGTACTCCCGCTTCTATTTGGCAGATAGATGACAGAGAATCCTCACATTTGACTTGGAATGATCTGTTCTGCAAATAAGACCTGAGCAGCATGTATGCAGTATTTGGCAGATGAAGCTTTAGCTTATATAAAAGGCCCTTGTGCCACACGCGGTCAAAGGCTTGCTGGATATCGAGGAAAACAGCCGAGCAGTATTCTTTTCTTTACAGCGCTTGCCGTATCGTGTGAGCTACTCGGTGTATTTGCTCTGTTGTCCCATGGTTTGCGCGAAAACCGAATTGGTGGTCGGGTATTACTTTTTGTTCTTTTAGTACTGGCAAAAGACTCATCAGGGCCAATTTCTCGAAAACTTTCGACAACAAGGGGAGAAGGCTTATGGGTCTGTATGATGTAACCTCCGTAGGAGGCTTGCCCGGTTTGGCTATCATGTTTATTATGAATACTTTCTATACCTCTGGGAAATGTTGTAATCTTAGTATACGAGGGTCAAACTGAAAGTTCTTAGAAAATCAAAAACTGATTACATTAGCCAGTTATTAGTTTTATTATATCTTTTCAAAATATTGTCCATTCACGTCAATACACCGCTGCATGCGATGGAACCACTGGGAAAAGCACTTTGCCCACTCGTCCTTAGGGGTCTCTTCAATGGCATCGCGATACGCAGCCACCGCTTCTTCAGCATTCTGAAACCGCTTTCCTTTAAGTTTTTCTTTAATTTTTGGAAATAAATAAAAATCACAAGGCGCGAGGTCGGGGCTATACGGCGGGTGACCCAGTAATTCAACGTTTGATGTCGCCAAATAGTCGATCGTTCGCTTGGCGGTGTGCGACGAGGCGTTGTCGTGGTGAAGGAGGATCCTACTGCGAGGTCGTTTCTCTCGAACTTTTTCCAAGACAAGTGGCAAACAATTGGTAGTGTACCATTCTGCAGAAACTGTTTTTTGATCCTCTAACACAATTGTTGCAAAATGACCTATCCTTCCAAAGAACGAGGCCACCATTTTTTTTCCCGCACTTCGATCTCTCTTCACTTTAGTTGGCAACTCCTCGAAAGGAAACACCCACTGAGCAGATTGTCTTTTGGTTTTAGGATCATAACAGTAAATCCAGCTTTCGTCACCTGTTAGTATGTCGAACACAGCATTTGAGTCACCTCCGTTAAATCTTTCAATCATTTTACGACACCAATCCACACGATGGAGTTTTTGAGCCTCAGTCAAATTATGAGGTATCCACCGGGCGCAAAGCTTCCTGACCGCTAAATGTTCGTGGAAGATTTTGTGCACTTGACTCATACCGATGCCTAAGCTTGTCCGAATCTGTTGATAGGTCACTCTTTTGTCAGTCTCTATCATACGCCGCACAACACAGATGTTATCTTCAGTCGTCGCCGTAGAAGGCCGTCCCTCACGTAAATCATCAGTGAGATTAGTGCGACCACGTTTAAACTCATTAAACCAGTTGTAAACAGTCGCACGAGATGGGGCTTCATCGTGAAAGGCCAATCGTAGTCTATCATAACTTTCTTGTTGACTTAAATGACATCGAAAGTCATAAAAAATCATTGCACGAAAATTTTCTCGTGTTAAATTCATGATGACGTGACACAGACAATTTTCAATTTGCCGCCAAATCGTAAAACAAATGACAAATGAATGAAATATATACTCAGTAATATTGGCAAAGAGTTATATTTTCAAATTTTAGAATTATTTTTTTATTATATTGTTTATAAGTGGCCAGTTCTAAGAACTTTCAGTTTGACCCTCGTAGTATTAAAGAGGATTGTAAGCAGGACGATGGCTTTTCTTGGTAGTTGTTTAAGAACTTCTGCTGTTATTAGATCAAACCCTGGTGCCTCTTTTTGTTTCAAATTCATGATAGTCTTTTTTACTTCTGCTGTTGTCACTAGTCTCAATGGTGAAGAAAGCTGTTGGTCGCTATTCAAGACATCAATTTCCTGTTCGGTGTGTGCGTTATCAGGTTCATTGGGTTTAAATACGTTCTTAAGGAAATTAGCGAACAGCTCAGCTTTATCTTGGGATTTTCGCGACCAGTTGCCGTAAGCTTGTCTTAGTGGAGGCATGTGTTTTTTTGACCTTTTAGTGATTTGGTCATTTTCCAAAGTGTATAATCCTCTCCTTTGTATGGTGATAGAGACTTGAGTTTGTCTTGGAGGGTATTGTTCTCATTTTCTCGAGCATTTCCTTGAGTTCTTTTTGCATTTTATTAAGTGCTTTTTTGTCTAGACGATTCCTGCTGGTGTGCCATCGATGTCGCAGTCTTCTCTTTGCGGCTATCATCTCTCTTATTTCCAAAGTAGTGTCATGGCTTTGTGGTTTAGATGCTATGTATGGAGTTGATAGCCAGGCCGACTTTTGTATTAGGTTAGTCGTATACCACGCAGCATCCTCTAATTCCTCAACCGTTTTAAGAGGGATGTGTAGATTGACATTTTCATCGATATAGTTTCGAAAAGACTCCCAATCAGTTTTATGGTTATATAGGGTCTCACGTGGTTCTTTCCAGATGACTGTGGTGTTTAGTGTGCATATTACGGGTGTATGATTTGAGGACCCGTCGAGACATGATTCAACTTTTGTATAGAGTCCCGACATCCTTTTAGTGATGAAGAAGTCGATGAGATCTGGAGTTTTGTTAGGGTCAGATGCCCAGTGAGTTGGTTCTCCTGTTGATATTACATTGAGGTTGTTACTATCAATTGCCTTTTTCAGTTCTCGACCCTTTGTCGTAGTCAATCGGAAGCCCCAGAAGGTGTTTTTGGCATTCCAATCTCCTCCTGCTATGTATCTGTCACCAAGTGTTTGGAAGAAATCTGTAAACATTTGTTCATCTATGCGATGTCGTGGGGGACAGTATACTGCAGCCACACCAAGTGATCCCTGCCAGTCATCTATAGATATTATTGCGGCCTGTATGTGTGCATGTGCAAAGTTTGGAACGGCGTGGTGTTTAACGTGTTCCCTAATTATCACTGCGGCCCCAGCATGTGATGTGCCATCTGGATGGTTAGCATAGTATATATTGCATCCTTTGAATTTAACCACTTTTTGGTCAGTCGTATGTGTTTCAGAAACTAATAATATATCTATGTTGTTGTGATTCATGAATAGCTCTACTTCTTGCTTATTTGTGGGTAGGCCATTTATGTTCCATGCAGCTATTCGAAGGAATTTCATTTTTTCTGCTGAGCTATTAATGTCGTTAAGAGGCCCATTAAGGTTCCTATTTGTTGTATGAGAATATCTATCTTCTCCGACTGTTTTATTATGATTTGCTCTAATGAGCTTGTTGACTGAGATTGTACATTCTCTATTTTTCTGTTCCAGTTACCCGTATTTGTAGTGTTGGTTACGTTTTCAGGTGGATGCAAACTGTTTGTGTTGCAAATTATTGTTGCGTTGTGTATTGTATCTGGGGAGTTCTAGCGGAGGGAAATCTTCTATTCGAGGTGTAAACATACGTATGGCCTTTACCTTGTCTAGTGGGACTTTTCTGTTAACAGCATGAACCATTTTTCTTGCCCGTATCTCCTTATAGACTTGGCAACCTTTATAGTTGGCTGGATGATCTCCTTGACAGAGGGCACAGGTTGCTGGTGAGTTCCTATCCTTTTTTAGGCATTCAGAAGTTTTGTGTCCTTGTCCACATTTGACACACCTGTATGGACGCATACAGTTATTTTTGGTGTGCCCATATTGTTGGCACCTAGTACACTGTGGTATTTTAGTTGATTTTCGTGGATCTTCAATTTTTACTCTCGTGTGGAATATGGTTTCTATATTTTTTATTTCGGGGTTGTTAGGGCTAGGCTTAATGTTTACGAAGAACATATTAAGGGGCTTCTTGTTTTTCCTTGATATTGCACAGATGATTTCTCCTCGTACCCTGTTGCCTGTTTTTTCTATTGCTTCTGTTATAGCTGATTTGGGGGTGGTATGATGCAAGTTTTTGATTACAATTCGGTAACATTTATTTTGCTTCTGTGTGAATGTATGACCTATGAGGCCATTATTCCAGATGAGTTCTATTAGGTCCTTATATATTTCAGTTGACTGAGTTATCACTCTTAGCTGATCTCTATTAATGATTTTGTACGAGTAGCTGTCACTGGGTATCGCCTTATTTAATAGCTCTGTTAATTTTGATAGATCTTCTATGCCATATAATATAACTGGTGGTGGTTTGTAAATTTTTTGGCTTTATTGCATGGATTTTCCGTTGTTTCGTCCGTGAGATCTATAGCAAGCCCGCTGTATCTGTTAGAAGTAGTCATTCCTATATGTGCTATGTTGTCGGGTTTTTCAGTAAATGGCGGGCTGTCGGATAGTCTCTTCCTTTTGGCGTAGCGGCCTTTAGGTACTCTTTGCCAGGGGGGAGAGTAAGCTTTGTTGGCACCATCATCTCTAATATTCGTGTCAGAGGACGTACTAGGTATTTTCGCTGTTTCAGTGGTTTTAATGTTTCCTAGTGAAAACGATCTTGGTCTTGTGATGAAAAGGCTTGGATGAAACGCCTGTTGAGTGAGTTTTTTAGTTGTGCTTCCAGAAGCATTCACCGTCACTGGAGCCTGGTCGCCGACTCCCGTGCAGTCTTCGGTAGCAGATTTCACACTCGCTGGCCCGGGTACCAACGAGCGCCGGGGGTTAGCCGGATCGCATGACATATCAACAATCTTGTCATTCATATTTCCATATTTAAAAGTGAGACATACACATGTCGCTTTCCCAAGGCGACATGGCCATACTTTTAGGAGGGATTTAGTCCTCCTTGGCTTATGGTAAACCAGGAGTCAGGTTAATTAACCGCCGCCTGTTACTCGGCGTTGTTGCTCATTTAGCACCACCCGGGGGGTCACGTGTAGGGTGGGCCTAGGTGGTAAATCCTACGGACGCGAGCAACTCAACCCCCTGAACGGTTCTGGTTCGAATTAAAAAAATATTTTTGTGTTAAATAGACCATTTATCAAGGAAAGCGTTAGTCTATATAACATCATGCTGCTACTATTGGGAGCGAAGAAATAATAGAAAACTGGAAAACGCGGACAAACACGCTGGTAGCCACTAGTAGGCAATAAAACTTAAAAAACAATTTAATGACCGTACCTATTGAAAATAATTTATACTTTACTAGCTTTCTGCCAGCAGCTTCGCCCATGTGGTCTTGTATTGTACATAAAAACTTTCCTTTTGAACCACCCTATCTATGAAAAAAAACCTCATCGAAATCCGTTGCGTAGTTTTAAAGATTTAAGCATACATACGGATATAGGGGCAGAGAAAGTGACTTTGTTTTATACTATGTAGTGATTGCACATAGTAGTACATGAGTCACATGAAATTTTACACTGAAAAAAAATGTTGGGTACTTTATATTTTCATTAATCTGTCCATCACATCACCCGCCAATTAATTTCCCCACTGCTGAGGCTCAGGCCTTCTCTATAAATGGGCCATCACCTAACACGCAAGTCCAATGACGATTGGTGGGTATTAATGTCTGCAGATGCACCCAGAACAATCAAACAAACCTAGGATGGGTGACCAATAATAAATTACTTGGTTATCCATTGCCAACCAGTCATTGTGAACGTTGCTTAACAGCAGTAACACAGGCCACTAACAGTTGCACCATTGGGCTCCTTTATAAATAATACTATCAATGAAATGAATCTTTCGCTTTCAGTTGAATGGTGATGATTCGCCTGATTTCCTACCTTCACATGAGATATTGCGAGAAAACTTAAAAGCTGATAGAAAGAAAAGAGCTGCGAGGAAACCTTTGAAGAAATACAAATGTAGGATTTGTGAAGAGGTAAAGTGAACATCTTATTAATACTTCTTATTGTTTTATGGGATGACATATAATCAGCACAGGTGATGTAAAAGCTAAGGAAAATTATAGACTTGGAGGGTACTAGACTGAAAGAGCTTCTTTGATTTTGGAGTGATTCAGCACCACAAGGAACTGTATAGCCCCTTAAACTAACAAATAATAATAATACTGCGCGTCTAGGAAATACTCTGGAGTCCAAAGTTTTCTGTTCTGGTCAGTAGTAAATGAACTTTTCTATATTGCCTTTGGTCTAGGTGTTGTGGTACCTTTGTTCTCTTAGATACTGTGATATCAGAAATGTCTAGAATTTGAGAGTGATACTGTATCTGATACATGAAAGATCAGACCAGAGTTAGAGCTCTTAATCAAATTATTTTCTTCATGGCTCCCTTAATGGCGTGATACTTGAATCACTGATTAGTTGATATATTCCTCTCTGCAAAATTTATCTTATTTATACTTATTATATTTCAGATATTCGACGATATAACCGCTCTGGAAAGCCATGCTGCCACACATGACCCCGAAAACCCGTACGCTTGCACCAAATGCCCGTACAAAACTAACATCAAGTCTTATTTGACACGACACACGATGAAGGTACACAATAAGTCTGAACACAAGCAAGAGTGCGAAGTTTGCGGAAAGAAGTTCTTATATAAATCTTTGATGGAACAGCATTTGAGAGTGCACACCGGTAAGACAATTAATATTTCGTTATTTTTGCGTTTACACAATTCCCCCAATGTCTGTTTGTGGCCTTTACACGTGAAGAGAGAAAAACAAAAATATGATAATTATTTTTATCTAAATCTAACTCAAATTTATGACCTTTCGCTATCCGAGTGACTGCTCCCTGTCCGGATTGCAAAAAGTTTTGAGTTCGAGTCCCATGACTGGTGGGTTTTTTAAGCATATTTCTCATTTAAATATGATGATTTCACTTGATATTATTTAATGTCAAAGTCGAAGTGAAAATTCTTCAGATAAACTTATAGAGAGCTCGGTGGCACAGTTCCTTGTGGCCTTGGTGCCCCAAGTTGGGAACCTCAAAGGCCTATTTGTCTTATTTTAAAATCTAATACCCTTTTCAATTTTACATTAAAAAGATATTAACATACTTCACTCTATAGCTATGCCTGATTGGCATGTGATAGTGATTGAGACCTTTTTTTTTAAATATACCTTCTGAAATAGATTGGCATATAATTTGAATCTGGACAATTTGCTTGCCTATTTAGTCCATCAGTCAGATAATTGAAAAATATTAGATACGTTTTATTTGCTTAAATTTAAACCAAAAATGGCTTAGATAATAGAGCATTAAAGTTGTGGAGTGGGGGCTCGCTACGTCACAGTTCTGTAGAAAATGTACAAAACTATTACGTAATGTGATATTTTAACTGAATATATCGTCGTAATTACTTGATTACACAAAAAAAATACGTATTTAATATTTTTCAACAATCTACCCGACGGGTTAAATAATTTATCACATATTTTTGCATGTATGATTTTTTTTTTTCTTTTATTTAAACATTTTTTTTACTGTAAGTAGGTATTATATAATAATCATTTTGGCGCCCCCTTGATACCACCACTTGCCCCCACCTTAGATCCGGCCCTGGAATATGATCCGATATTTCGCATTTCGCAGGTGAAAAACCTCATAAGTGTGATGTTTGCGGGAAAGCTTTCAACACGACGTTCTCGTTGACCACACACAAATACATACACAACAGTAAGTACTCTATATATTATCTGTTATTCCGAGTATTCTGCCGCGTAAATTATAACCTTCGTCATTCGCGTATGAGCTTTCCGCAGCCGAAAGTTTTAAAATTAATTTGACGATTTTTGTACCAACGTTATGGTTGGCCATCATAAATGTTTGTCTTCGGCTTCAATGACAGCTGATGCGTTTGAATTAATGATGCGACTCGACTCCTGTTTTTACTCCAGTCACTCGAATGGAAAAAAATACCACTCGAGTTATCGAGTCAACTCGGCACATCGAATTTATTTCCTTTGAAGTTACTTCGCCACTCTAATCAATTAATCTTAAGCCGCTTATTTTTTTTCTTTATTACTTAAATAAATAAATGTCAAAACTCTTTTAATGTATATTTTATGTATGAATTTGTTTAAAATTACTAAGAGAAATCTCACTCGAGTAGTACGTTTGAAATGTTTGATGGTGAGGTAGTTCATCGGCTCAAGTGACTCGAATCACAAAATCCTACTCGAGTCGCATCACTGATTTGAGTTTGCCACTAGAGGCGCTGGTGTAGCGTGAGGTCTTCATAATGTCAAATATCATACTTTGTCGGTGAGCTGCGCGCGTTTTTGTTTTAAACTAATTTTGTGCTTATTATTGGATAAACATTAAAGTAATTGTGAATTATGACTCAATGAATGTCTGTGATTTAAAAAAAGAAGCTAAGAAAAAGGTGAAAATTATACAGGATGAAAGAACATCTTCTTATGTATATCTTAATCGGGCAAGCTCGATATTTTTAATAATATAGTTTATTTATGATTTTATTTTTCAGTATAATAATATAAAAAAGCAGTAACATATATTACTAAAGTCAAGTCGTCGGACAGAGAGAATTCCGTACGTTGACCTCTGAGTCTTGCCAATTTACTATGATAAAATTGGCTAGATGCATCTGTGCGAACGCATTAGCAATCTGCACGAGTGAAATAGATAATGCCGGGTCATTGTACGAAATTTCCTCTGTTCAGCGACCGTGCTATAATATCTATTACAATTTATATCACATAACAAATCAGTACAACACTATTCGTGGTAGGTATGACGCTTGAATTGAGTCCATGTTGCACTTTTTTGGTGTAACGCAACGGCCAGAGTTTTCGATGAAACTGAAAATAAAAATATCATAACGTATTATACTGCCAAGTAGCAGTGGCGGTCTAACCCCATCAGATAACCCCGGGGCGGCAACAGGAGTTACAATTATTGCATTTACAACACACCCCCTCTCCCCACCGCATACATAACATTCACGACACTGGACATTAGAAAGATAAACTATCACTAAAGGCTGTATCTATTAGTCTACGGGGCCTCCAACCATAATTTACGATTTGATTAAGGGAACTTGTAGCCATTTAGAGGTTCCCCAGGACCAGAGGCACAGGGCGTACCGCCCCTTACGCCCCTCGCCCTTAGTCCGCCATTGCCAAGTAAGGATGTAATATATAATAGGCTCTAGAACTGAGCTCTTGCCATTTAGTAGTATCGTGTTGATTGACAAAAAAATTCGCGTGCATAGATTGTTTACTCTGTGGTAAAGTCTAAAGTCTCACAGACATGACGTCGCTGTCATATGACGAAGCATTGCTGACCCCTACTAATTTTATGTAGTTAGAGATGAGCGACTCCTAACAAAATTTTGAAGCTAAACCTATCTTTGCTAACTATCTTCTTCTTGTTCTGCTATAAACAGAGTATTGCTATCGACTATCAATAGTATAAAACCAACTCTAAAAAACCTATAAGAAAAAAAAATGAAAACGTTACGATGAAAGTACATACTTTTCATTCGATACCGAGTATGGATCAATACCTTTTAGCGGTACGGTAACGAGTATGAGTATCGAATGGTGTGCCATTTTTTTATACCGAGGGGAACTGACCTTAACATGCCATCGACCTGGGCGCAAGGCCGACTGAACCCGGGCTCTCCCACTGCAAGGTCGGTCCAGTGCAGTGGGCCTACCGTGCAAAACCTCCCGTACTACCCTCTCGCTTAGTCCGGGGTACCTGGTATCTAACGAATGGTATGCCTAAAGCTTTAGATGGAGTCGTGTAAAGAGACAAATATTTTCAATTTGTTTCAAACCTCAATGCGTCAGAAATAGAGTTCAAATTATGTGGTTAAAAATTTTGACTTTGGCTATTGAATGGAATACTAACCCTGGTTTGCAATAACAACCGGACACGTACAAATTGAAGCAATGCTTCGTCTTCAGTTTTATTGTTGGCTTCTCGTCCTGCGGCTCTAAATGAGCCAACAGATTCCTCAGATACTGTAGTATCTTGTTGACGTCAAGGAAACCGTTGCGCAAATCCAAGTTAGGTCCGAGAATCTTCTTTAAAAGAATCTGTAGGAAAAAAGAACTATACAATTTTAGACTTTGCCCGTGACTTCGTCCGCGTGGTAAAGTTACTTTGAGCAGCATTTCTAACGAATATTTATTCATTATATCTTGAAAATAAGTGAAATAATTTTTCATCCCCTATTTCATCCCCTTAGGGGTGGAATTTATCAAAATCCTTTCTTAGGGGGCCTACGCTATAGTAGTTTTATACATGCAAAGTCTTGACCCGATCGGTTTAAAATTGACTTAAAATTGACAAAGTTTCATACAAACTTTCATCCCCTATTTTATCCCCTTGGGGTTAGAATTGATCAATATCCTTTCTTAGCGGACGCCTACGTCATAACATCTACCTGTATGCCAAATTTCAGCCCGATCCGTCCAATGGTTTGGGCTGTGCGTTGATAGATCACTATGTCAGTCAGTCACCTTTGAATTATATACATTAAGAGATACTATAAGTATGACAATAGCCTAGTACAACGCAGCGATTCCATAAAAATCCGTACCTCAATTCTAATTCACTCAGGTGTCCGAATTTACTTCGCAAGCTATACGTACATCTGCTTAACCATGGATAAGAAAGTACATATTTAAAAAAAAAACATTAGTTCCCGAAATCAAACTAGATGTCACTACGGTACTCTCTTGATAACAACTTCTCCACGACAACACTTCCGATTTTCTTTCATGTATAAAAGTAAATTAATTTTCAGAACTCAATAAACAACTCATATTCTATTTGTAGTTTTTCGTAGTTGTATTGATATCTAAGTTTCGAACATTGTGTAAATTTCAGTTTTTTAATATGTTAGTTAAAAGGAACGGACATGACTATTTTTGGTCCAATCGTTTCCTGCAAAAATCAACTTTTGCTAGAGTCGCCATCTAGTGAGGTGCTTTTTAGCGCTTTCTTTTTTTCTTAAAATATTTCCTCATTGATATTACCGTTTCGTGGCATAAGTAAAGTTTCGAAATGACATAAGAATAGAATATCTGAGACACGTATATTCACTCAATTTCTACACTAAGTTACGTGAATGAGGACACATGAGGGACTTAAAATTCAAGTCTGAGTTTTTACATAATCGCAGGACAGTTCATTTTGGGTAAGGGATCTCTTTTCTTTAACATTTGTGGCATCCCAGTAGCTCGGTGGCGTAGTGGATTAGCGCCGCGGCCCGCGATCGTAATCGTTAAGCAACTTTCGCAAGGGTCGGTCACGGGATGGGTGACCAAAAATTATTATCTCGAGCTACTCCGTGCTTCGGAAGGCACGTTAAGCCGTTGGTCCCGGCTGCATTTGCAGTCGTTAATACCCTCCAATCCGCATTGGGCCAGCGTGGAGGGTCATGGCCCATCCTCCTTAACCATCATAAGGAAGGCCTGAGCCCCTGCAGTGGGGACGTAAAAGGGCTGGTGATGATCTCTTTTCTTTAACATTTGTGGCTTCCCTGATATGCACAGATATAAATTAATCACTCACTTTTGTCATATTTATAGTAAATTTAAATGTCGTCGTGTGTTTGTTCAATATGTCTGTGATGATCTTATACAAATAATCGTTCAAACTGTCGTATCTCCTGCTGCTGCTGCATCTTTTGAATTTCTCGTGCAGTATCTTCTTAAATTTAAACACTTTCTTTGTTAGATTCGAGCATTCGGTTCGCTCGTAGTAGATTTTCTTGAGCTGCGCCTTTAGTTCGATTGAAAATTTTTTGTTCTCCAATATTTTCACGTATTCTGAAATAGCATCTGGTAATAAATCGATATGTACATACATACTATAGTACTGGTTACCATTACAGTTATGTCACATGTTTCCAATTGATTTTCATGGCTTTTGTTTTGTTATTTTCGCCTCAATTCTTTTATTTCGGATTATTAGAATATTCTAACGGAGCGCAGCGTCGCGGTTCGTCTACGCATTACTAGATGGCGTTATGCGCCATTGAATCGCGTTAAGACTGTTGAAACTACTTGTGTCATATATCTATACATCGGGTCAGCGAGAAAAGGACAGTCACTGGGGAAGAAAGGGACGGGTAGCTGTTTTAAAACTTTTTGTTAATGTTACGTATACACCAGTAGGGCCGAGGTCAACCTAGTATGTTCTAGGTCCTAATCTAGAACATTCTAGATGTGGTATCGGCCCCGATAAATACGCGGTGGACTAGCCGTCCCGGCATTATTCAGTGAACAAGCGATCTGAAACTCGCGATGACTAGTGCGGTGAACGATCTACTAGTGTTGTGAAGTGACCATAGTGAAGTTGAAGTGTGAATTTTGGAATTGGATTATTTTTGTTATTTTATGATGGTAAATAAAGTCGTAACAATATTTAGTCTTCCACACTACTCGATTAGCCGTCATCTTAACATTCACGCCTTACTTACTCTTATCATCTTTCACACAGTCTATAAATTAAGTCTTTATCTACACAATGGTGCCAATTTGGCCCCTTGGGGGCTAGATTTGGCAATTAGGCACTTTAGGTTCAGCTCATAATAAAATGATTTAACCCTTATCCCATTTTCCAGCCCCAAAATCCTGTGAAACAAATAGACAAAAGTACAAAATTTTTCAAATTTAAACGCACTAAAGGGGGTATCA